CCAATTTTAGAACATTTTCATCACCTTCTTCCCTTTAAATCCCATGACCATTGCCTGTTTCCCTCGCCCCTGATCATCAGGGATCAGCTTTCTGTCTGGGTGACTGCTTATTCGGCACATTTCATATAAATGAGTCAGACACCGTGTGCTCTTTGGGGTCTGGCTTCTTTTAGGTAGCATACTGCTTTCAGGGTTCATGTTATAGCATGTATCAATGCTTTCTTCTTTTTTTAATGGTGGAATAATAATTCATCGTATGGACACACCACATTTTGTGTATCTAGCCATCTGTTGATGGAGATCTGGGTTGTTTCTGGTTTGGGCTATTTTAGTCTGTTGCGTGCTATTGCACCAATGCCAACTCCTAGTGGATCTATAGGACAGAGCTGCCACATAGTGTTTCCTATGCTGTATTCTCCATGGGAGTAGTTAGCCATCTTTTTCTCTGGGCTAGCTTCAAATCTCGGACCTTTTGATTAGCAGCCTAGTGCTTAACAATTACACCACCAAGGCTTCTCATTATAATATATACTGTACTATCTAATACTGCTATTTTATGGGCCATACGTGTATAGGCCCCGCTGTACTCTAGACTGGCATACAAAAGAGCAAATCTGTCTTGGAAGAAGTTCAGCCAGATACTCCTTAGAGGCAAAGGGGGCGAGACTTTGATGCACTTTGGACGTGTTATGAGCAGGGACCAATCCCCGGAGAAGGGCCTGTGCTTGGTGGAGGGTCAGTGAAGGAAAGGGGCAGGCCTTCCCCCAGATGGACTGACACCGTGGCTGCTACATGGGCTCCAGCACAGGAAGCCGTGTGAGGATGGCGCAGGACCGGGCAGTGTTTCCTGGTTATACGCAGCCGCTCTACGGCACCGACCTGTAGTAACTCCATGTCTACCGTTTGAAGAACACTGCTAAAGGATTTCCAAAGTAGCCACACCCATTGACATTCCTACCAGCAAAGCACTCCCTTCCAATTTCTCGACCTCCTTTTCAACATTAGTTATTGTCTTTCTAGATACAGTCCTCCTGCTGTAAAGCGACAACCCATTGTGGTTCTGATTTGAATTTCTCTGCCGGCTACTGATGTGAACTATCTTTTTGTGTACTGAGTGGCCATTTAGATATCTTCTTTGAAGAAGGGTTTTCAAATTCTTTGCCCACTTTTCAATTAGGTTGTCTCTTTTAGTGAGTTGTAGGAATTATTTTTATGTTCTGGATACTAGCTGGCTCTTATCCATGATTGTTGCAGTATTGGTTCCCATTCAGTGGGTTGGCTTTTCATTTTATTGATAACAGCCTTTGGAGCATAAAAGTTCATCCCCTTTCATTTGTGGCATGTCTTTATGGGTCATCTAAGGAACGAACCACTGCCTAAACCAAGATAACAAATGGTTTTGTTGTGATTTGTTGTTCGTTCCTTCTACCAATGACCTATGTACAACAGAGCAAAAGTCCTGCACCATCCTCAGTTATGATGTTGGCTGCAACAGTTGGTTCAAACATAACCAGGAAGCTTTGCAGCTTTTCTTTTTTCCCCTAAACGTTTTTTAGTCTTAACAGATGTAGCTGATCTACATGGTAAAAGGAGGTCAACTTCACATGGATGTGATTGAGTTAACCATTTGCTGAGAAGACTGTTCTTTCCCCCATTGACTTGTGTAGTCATCGTTGTTGAAAATCAATTGACCATAAGGCCCTTATTTTTATCCTCTCAACTCTATTCCACTGAAACGCATCTTTTTTTTTTAAATCGCTTTATTAAGGGCTCATACAACTCTTATCACAATCCATACATACATCAATTGTGTAAAGCACATTTGTACATTCATTGCCCTCATCATTCTCAAAACATTTGTTCTCCACTTAAGCCCCCGGTATCAGGTCCTCATATTTTCTCCTCCCTCCCCGCTCCCCTCTCCCTCATGAGCCCTTGATAATTGATAAATTATTAATTTGTCATATCTTGCCCTGTCCGACGTCTCCCTTCACCCACTTTTCTGTTGTCCATCCCCCAGGGAGGAGGTCACGTATAGTTCCTTGTAATCAGTTCCCTCTTTCCAACCCACCCTCCCAGGATCACCACTCACACCACTGGACCTGAAGGGATCATCCGCCCTGGATTCCCTGAGAACACATCTATCTTCATGCCATGTTGTTTTGAGCACTCATCCTCGGATGTAATTTAAAATCAGTCCTCCAACTTGGTTCTTTTCCATGATTGTTCTGGCTATTCCGAGTTCTTCGATGATCAGTTTGTCATTGGTGGGTTTTTAGGGTGTTTTTTTTGAAAGGCAGATTTGTGAACGGGAACTCATGGACTCTGTAAATCATTTTAGAGTTGTTGCCAAGATCGCAACATGAAGCCTTTCAATCCGTGAACACAGGATTTCTTTCCATCTAATGAAGTTTTTACTTTCTGTGGACAATGGTCTATAGTTTTCAGTGTATGTTTTATGCACTTGTGTTAAATATATTCCGGAGTGTTTTTGATGCTGTTATAAACTGTTTCTCTTACTTTTTCTAGTGGATAGTGTATAGACGTATAATTGATTGTTGTATACTGATCTGTATTCCTGTATCCTGCAACTTTACAAAACTCATTCACTCTAATTAATAGTTTGTGTGTGTGTGTACGCTAGGATTTTCGATATCACAATTCAGAATAGTAGCAAAATGACAGTGATGAATGGCAACTAAAATGATGTTGTGGTCGGGGGTCACCACCACATGAGCAACTGCATGAACGGGCCACGGCCTGAAGACGGTTAGGACCACTGCTCTGTGTAGAAGACCACGTCCTCAAGTGGAGGTAATCTTGCACCTTCCTTTCCAATCTAGACGCCTTGGATCTCTTTTCTTTTTTTGCTTAAGTGTCCTGGCAGCCATTTTTAAGATCTCTCTTGGTCTTCTGAAGGGTCTGGGTAGCACAGTCATGTAAGTGAACTTCTAGCCACATGGTTGGTAGTTCAAAACCACCAGGCCCCCTGAGGGAGAAAGAAGAGGCTACCCTAAAGGTGGCAGTGGGTTTTTGGGGGTCATCTTGGTCTTCTAGGGAGGGGGAAATTGTTACCCATCGAGCCTCATGAATCTTGCCTCCATGCTCTTGATTATTGGCTTCACTTTTTCTTTCCTTTCTGTCTAATTGTTACATTTTTTTTCAGTGAAGGTTGGGTTCTCATTTGACCACTTGGTTAGTTTACATTCTCCTTGTGTTCCGCTTGTTTGGGTTCCTGTCTTACATGGCTGCCTTCTTTTTTGAAGAGTTTGGCCTGTTTTTCTCCCACTCGATCCAGGACCATCTCCTGGGACCCAGGTATGAAGGGTCAATAGCGGAAGCTGGGCATCTTCTAGTTCTTTCGGTTTCAAGATAGATGAAGCCATGGCTTGTGACTTAGACTACCTCCTGATTCTTTTGTTCCGGACGAGAAGAGACCAAGAGCTGTATTTTAGAAGGCCCCTGGCGAGCTTTTTATTCCAAACCCTACTCTCGGTTCACTAGAGTGGAGAACATGAACTTGGTGAACTACATGATGCCAATTGGTTGAGTTGTGCTAGTGGTTTAAGCCTGAATTCTTAAATCCTGACTACTTTATACCCTCCCATACAAAACATGTCAAAACCAGTTCATCACCCCCCCACCACCACCACCACCCAGCAGCTCTTATTGGAGCGCTGGTGGCACCGTGGTCACATGTTGGACTGTTAACCTCGCCAGGTCAAAACTGCCAGCTGCCCTGAGGGAGAAAGAGGCTTTCTATTCCCACAAAGAGCTCGTCTCAGAAATCCACAGGGGCAGTTCTCGGCTGTCCTGTAGTGTTGCTACGAGCCAGCACTGACTCGATGGCAGGGAGGTGGGAGTTTTGGAGCAGCTCTTAAAGCTCGTCCTTGTAGGTAAACTCCTCATTTCCTCTCTCTCCCATCCACTTAGCCCATATACCAATGGTGGTGAAAACCATGTGAAACTGTTTAGTACAGGTTAGTAAGTAAGCACAAGACAGTGCCTGCTGACTTTGCTTATTGGGGCATCCAGCCCTGGCTTAAACATTTTCAACAATAGAGGGAAAGAGGCTCAGTGGAAAGCCCAATGTTAATTGATGAGGAAGATACCATCCATCAAGCTCAGCTACTCAGGTCTAGCACAGCTTCAGGGGGGTATAGAAGGGGGCTTCAAAGAGATGGGCATTTACCCATGAACTTTTCGAGGGCTCCTTTTGAACTTCCTTTGTGGGTAGCTGGCATAATTCTGAGCGGGTCCTGCTGTTGGTCCCCGGGGAGGATGACCTTGGCTCAGGGGAGGTCCATCAGCAGAGCTGGTTCTGGGTGGCCTCAGAAGTCCAGCTTTTGGTCCGAGGGGCCCCTCCTGGGATGTGCAGGTACCCCCGCTGCAGAGGTCCGCCCCTTTTCTATGTGAGGACTCAGATGTAGCAGCAAAAGCAAACAAGGCTTTTCCACTTTCCTGAGGGGCCACAAAGCCTCTACTCTAGGAAACCTTTCCTTGGATTTTATATTTCCCTCTTTCCGATGGTGGAGGACCAGCATTCTCAAGGCACCATTTTATTCCCTTGAGGCAACGTTTCACTGAATGAACTGGATTGCCCGGTCCCAGATTAAGAATTGCTTTCCCAGAGAGCACTTCTCCAGCGCTTGATGTTGCTATCTTGGGTCCATGAGCTCACGTCAGCCCGGGCATTTCCCCAGGGCGGTGGTGCCAGCTGGTGTGAATGTGTTTGACTTAGAAGTTGGCGTCTCCAGGCTTCCTGCAGCTGAGGCCCAGAATTTAACCTAGAGTTACCCTTAGCCTGGGAAGGGCAGGTTACTGGGGTATGAGTCAGCTGACATCGCGTGGACCTTTTTTTTACTCTTAAAGGTACAGGTCATGAATTGTGTACTTGAGCGTGCAGAGGCCGAGGGCTTTGAATCACAACCCTGCCTCCCCATCACCCACATGCCCGCATCCCGCCCCCACCTCAAAAAAATCTCCCCAACACAGTGCAGCCAGATTCACTCAACTTTTATTATGAACAAACACAATCTCAGATCAGTACAACTAGCTTCAGAGTTGATATTAATAGAAATTATTCCAAAATTCTCCTCAGGTCACAAATAACTACTATCCCACATAAAAAGGGGGAAAACCCCATCCAGTCAAGGAAAGGGTATCCTGCCGGTTTCCATGGCGACGAGTTTATGCCACTCTCAAGCTCTGTCTGCTAGTCATCCACCACTTAGCCAATGGACTCCATTCAATCTCTTGGCGAGAACCAAAGAGATCAACGACACTGTTCTGGACACGGACACACCAAGTTCACGGTGGAGATAGCGGCTAGAAAACTACTCAGGACTTAAGAGAATTCCTCTGCTAAAAGATCCCAAAATGCTTTATAAAAAGCATTAGTCACTCCTCAAAACTGCCCTTTGAGGTAGGTCAGTATTATTATCCCCATTTTAACAGAAGGAAAACTGAGGCACATTGTAGTTAAGTGACTTGCCTAGGTCATACAGCAAGTCAGTGGCACAGTGGTAGGAGAGGTCTGGGCCTGAACCACCAGCGTTACATTGCCACGTTGCTGTCTTCAACCTCTCACGTGGACCCATTCAGAGTTACACTTACAGAGAAGACACTCGGGATACTAGCAAACCAAGGGAAAGGAGGGGTGGCGGAGGTGGTGGGGTGGGGAAGAATCAATTTTCAATGCTATAGCCATCTTTTAATCTAAAAAATTAGAAATCAAAATACATTCAAATCAATTCCACCCTCCCTCAAATGTGGACACTCAATACAACAGCTCTAAGTTTCCACAATGAAGCGCAGAAGGAAATCCTGCTAATAGCTGTCCTGAAAAAATTTTTTTTCCCCATCTAGGCAGGCTCCTTTGTCCTCCAGCCACTGCCGTGGGCTCTCAGATGCAACTGAGGGGTAGGCTCTTATGCAACACTGATTAGAAAAGATGTAAGGCACCCAAATAAGTTGTCAGCACAACCCAGAAAGGAAGGACAGTGAGAAATGCAGACTCTTGGTCACGAATGGGTCACTCGAATTGAGCTTTTAGAATCTTGAAAAGTAGCCCTTCCCCAGATGATACCCCACCCCCCAAACACGCACAGGGCTCGAGGGATGGATCAGATCCAGGGAACACAATTTGGCCGCGAACGTTGATTATCGTTCTTCCGTTCTAAAGCGGACATCTGATGACCTGCGGAATGAAAACTGCCCAACGGTTTTCCAAGGGCTTGGTCTACGCAGGTCCAAGGACAGGGATCTCCATTCAATGCTATCCTGTTCCGATGAACAGCTCCAAAAAGGATGCCGATAGTGCAGGCTCCTTCCTGTCACCTCTGATTTACTCAGCCACCCAGGAACCACTGGCGCTCAACAGCTGGCCGAGCATTTGGTGTCCTGGCACCGCACCCTCAATGGAGTCCAAAACCTTTCCCCCTGAGGCGCAGGGACAGGAGTGTCCCAGGGTGGCAAAGCATGGGTGACTTGTCTCAACTTCTATGCTCTTACCCACCCAAGGCTGTGATATAAGGGGTGCAGTTTTGCTCAAAAGAGTTTCTGTTAGGCTAGTTTCACGATGTCTCCAATCCCAAGCCTCAGCAAAAGCACCGCCATACACCAGGTCCCAGGGAAGAAGGGAGCTTATCACAGCAAGGACTAGCTCCCTCCTCCGTCTATAAGCACTGCCCTGTCAGCTGGGAGTAAGGACCCAGACCTGGCCGGTTTGCCGAGCAGGAGGGCTGCCCAGCATGCTCTCTGGTTCTGACCCAGACACAGGAGACGGAAAGCAAACACCGTGATTGCCTCAACTGGCACACCCGAGCATTTGGCGTGGCTTGGCCTCCGGAGAGAGCGCCTCCCTAAGCCAGGGATGTTTCTAGTTGGGTTGCCAGCCCTGTCGTGTGAGCTGTCAGTAGGGCAGAGGAACAGAGGTGGGAGGCAGAGGCACGGAAGGCCAAATGAAAGTAGCAGTGCGCTCATTACTCACTGTGCCTCGCGGGAGACCCTGAGCATTGCCGCCTGCAGAAGAGGCAGCTGTGGGGACAGCCAGCCACCACTGCCTGTGGACTCACACAAAGGGGGCTGCAGGACCAGCGGGGAGGGAACCGGACCAGAAAGACAGAAGCCGGAAATCAAGAACCAGGAGGTTCCCGCCTCTCCCCTCACTCTGGCCTGGCCCACCCCGCCCCTAGGCTGTTCTGTCCTCTAGGCTAGATGTTAACAGAGAGGAAGGGGCTTGGGGGGGGGGGGGTTGTACCCACACTGGGAGAAGTCCACCTTTCTAATCAGGACACACTATCCCAGACTCACAGCCTTCTCCATGTGTTTTCCGAGGTCTTCCTTTGCAAAGTTCTCTCTTCGGAAGGAACTGCCCGCACACCCTCCAGCTCCTGTCCAGCAGTGATGGGAGAGTAGACAAGCCTCCCTCTTTTAGAGAACCTTCGAGTGCTCCCAGCAAAGTGACCGTGTATATCTGACCTAACTCCACCTCCTACATCCCGGCCTCTGCCCCGCTCTGGCTGGCTGCCAAGGCTGTAGCCATCTGAGAACTCTGAGGGTGCTGACCAACATTCTGACGATGAAGGACCTCTGATGAGTCCAGGTAGGTGGACTCGCCAATTTTGGAAACATCCAACTCCATTAGCTGAAACGAGAAACCTGGGAGGCTAAAGGGGGTGGGATGGGGGTGGGGAATCCTTTCCCAGCAGAGACTAAATCTAACCACCAGCTAAATGCTGCTTCTTGATCTGCAGCCTAAACCATACGGAACCTTTGAAACGTGTGAAAAATCTGTGTTCTAGCATTGCCAAGCTCCATGGTCTGTCCTACCCAAGGGTCGGGAGAGAAAGGACGCAGGTTGTGTGGCAGGCAGGTGGCTGTAGGGCTGAGCATGGCAGGAGCTTCGCCTTGCCTGGCTTCCCACCACATCTCCATCCTTAGTCATTGGCCAGACTATACATGCGACTTTTCTCCCCCGACCTGCCGGCGTAGAAAAAGCCTTATGTCAAAAATTTTATTTTCCCGCCCCCCCTAGCTTGAGCCAGCCACCCTGAGAGCTCAAGGAAAGAGAGTTCTCTGGGGCAAAGGCCACTAGTGTTACACTATAGAAAGGTGGTCAAAGCTTTGGAAACCGGACATTTCAAAGATTGACCAGCTGCTTGCCTGGAAGGCAAAGAGGGAGACGAGGAAGGAAGGTATTAGAACAAACCAAAGAGAGAGGAGAGGAGAAGCGGATCAGCTTAAGCATCTTCAAGGCAGAGTTGTTGGCTTTCAATACTTCGCATTTTTAAAAAGAATACTGTACTGGAATGGGTTAACGTGTCATCTTTAGCATCCTGTTAGCATGATTCAGTAGTTAATAAACAGAACATTAAACCTCTGCCCCGCCGGCTTTTGCAAAAGGAACACAAGGGGACCCCCAAACTCAGCCACTCTTGTAGCTTCCATCTCCAGTTCTCTTAATCTTGGCCAGGACGGTGGCCTTGGACACTTTCTTCCGGTCATAAGCCAGCCCCAGGGCAGCCATGCAGTCGATGAAGAAGGTGGTGAAGTTGACGTGCCAGCGGTACTCACTGGTGGAGTAGTCATAGGGAAAGGAGTGGTGGTAGTTGTGGAAACCCTCACCTGGAACAAAACCACAGAGAAGTCAGTGATGCTGGCACCCGGACCCCTGGCACAGTACCTCCAACCTAGTCGGAGCTTCCTGCTGTCGAATGAAGGAGTGACTCCAACCCCGTCAACCCTAAACCCAATTAGATCTATTTGTTCGCATCCAGAGCGAGAGTGCTTGGGAGACCTGGGCTATCCGAGAGCCTTGGCAGGACAGGGACTGGGAGCTTCTCTCAAGTGCCTAGAGCAGCGGTTCTCAACCTGTAGGTTGTGACCCCTTTGGGGGTGGTACGACCCTTTCACAGGGGTCGGCCTAAGACCATTGGAAAACACGTATTTCCGATGGTCTTAGGAACCGAGACACCGCTCCTCTATCTGTCTCCAGGCGGGTCCGCCCACATACGAGTACCCGGCATGAAGACTGTTACCCACGCTGCAGCATGCTTCAAGACAAAATTTCATTTATTTTGTCTTTTTATTATATTATTTTTTATTTAATTATATATTATTTAATTAATATATATTTAATTATATATATAATTTATTATATATTATTAGAAATAAGTATTTCATAATATATAGTGATGTACTGTTTTTGTGATGAATCACTATGCTTTCATTATGTTCAATTTGTAACAATGAAAAGAGATCCTGCCTATCAGATATTTACATGATGATTCATAACAGTAGCAAAACGACGTTATGAAGTTGCAATGAAGATAATGTTATGGTTGGGGGCCACCACCACATGAGGACCTGTATTCAGGGTTGTGGCATGAGGAAGGTGGAGAACCACTGGTCTAGAGGGAAGCTGCCCGTGCTGTGAATGGGTTTTTAGATTGGAAGGTTCCAGTGCTTCACTAAGGACTGGTCTAGCCCTGAAGGCATGTGTTCTGGTGGAGAGGGGAGAGTGTTGCAGGAAAAGCCATTTCCTGTTTCTCACAAAGATAAGCAAAGGAGCACACCTCTCTCCCCTGTTCTTGTGTCACCTCTGAAGGCCAGGGGCACTGCCTAACAGGGGACAACAGCACCAAGTCAGAAGACCCCTGAACTTGTCCCACGGCGTGGTTTCAAATCTTTTGAACATTGACTCTGATGAGTACACAACGCAGATAATGCAGAAGGTCAGATGCGACTCTTCCCCCTGCCCTCTGGGATTATACAAGCTGCTGGGAAGAGCAGCTCCCCCTCCCTGGGTGCAGGAAATCAAAGAAGCCCTGGATTCAAGCTCATTTCTGTGGTAGGGTTTTTACAGAGTTCCCCCCTCAGCAAGACTCTTCTTTCTGAACCAAATTCAATAATACTGACCTCCTTGATCACAGACTGGCAAAAAAGAATAGCCAATAGAAGTGCTTGTTGGGCCCTTTGAAGATGAAAGTACCTCAGGTGGAGTAGTAATATTAATTAACAAACATGCCAAGGAAATGCCTGCCAAGTAATGACCACCCCCCGGCCCCCCCAGGACATCACAAGGTGTACAAGGGGGTACTAAAAAAAAAAACACCCCAGAATTTTCTGGTCAAAGATATGCATTTAATTAAAAACAAACAAACGACAACAACCTTATCACCTTCAAAGTACTCTCCATTACACTTATTTGCCAATTCTGCGTCTCTATCCTTGGAAACACTTTTCAAACTCATCTGTTTGGATGGCTGACAGCATCTCCCTCATTTTTCTCTTCACTTCTTCTATCAAATTGCTGTCCTTTCATGTCCCTCTTCATTTGCGCAAACAAAAAGAAGTCGCAGGGAGCGAGGTCAGGTGGGTAAGGTACGAGGGGCAAGACAGATAGGCTGTTTTTTGCCCCAAACTGGCCACTGAGATGGCTGCGTGAGCAGGTGTATTGTCGCAGTGGCAAAACCAGTGCCCCACTTGCCACAAATCAGGTCTTTTTTGTCTCATACTGTTACACTATCTTTTCAGAACCACTAAATAGAAAGCTTGATTAACAGTCTGACCTGATGGAATGCACTACTAGTTCTGTCTGTTCAGGAAGTTGACGGAAGTTTCGTCAACAGACATTTCACCTTTTTGAAATGAGAAAACCACTCGTACACTTGAGGTTTTTCCCATATCGCTGTCCTTGTAAGCTGTATTCAACATCACAACAGTCTCTGGGGCATGTTCTCCGAGCAGGAAGCACAATTTCACAGGCACACGCTGTTCTCTTAAATCAGGCATCACACGTGAAACTGCCATTACCAAAAAATTCACCGTGACCAGAGAACCTTCCCTGGTGACACCACTGGGTGCACTAGAGTGAGTTGCCCGATGCCCGCCTAGCAGGAAAAATGCATACTACGAAAGCTCTGCCCAGCGGAGTTTTTCCAGGTTTTTTTTTGCGGGTGTGTGTGTGTACCCCCTCATATATTCCTTTTATGACATCTGACAGAAGCATTCCTAGGGTGCAACGGTTAAAGCACATGGCTGCTAACCGTAAGGTCAGTGGTTCGAACCTACCAGCTGCTCTGTGGGAAAAAGATGTAGCAGTCTGTTTGGTAAGGACTTCTTAGAGCCTGGGAAACCCTATGAGGTAGTTCCACTGTCTTACAGGGCCCACATGAGTCAGAATCAACTCAATGGCGGTGGACTTGGCTTTGGGTGGCATTTGGCTCTCCAGTGTGAACAGAGCGGGAGACAGGCCAAAGTGCTCGCTGTCATCAAGTCGATGCCGACTCAGAGGGGCCCTGGAGACAGGGTCCAATTGCCTCTAAGGTTCCCTAGACTGTAACTCTACCGGAGTAGAAAGCCCCATCTGTTTCCTATGGAGGGGCTGGCGGTTTCAAACTGGAGACCTAGAGGATTGCAGCGCAACTTGTCACCACTCCACCATCAGGCTACGGAGAGAGTATTAGTAATGCGCCTAAGTGGTTTTGCAGCTAGGCTCTGTACGACGGGAGGGCTTAACAGGTTTAACAGAGGCACACGCAGATAAGCGAGACAAAGAAAAGGGGGTGGGGTGCAGAAGATGCTAGAAGAATGAGGCTTTGCAACTGGGGCAGCAACAGCCCAAGAAAGGCTCGAGGGAGGAGGTCCGCTCTGGCAGACAGGAGAGCATGTGACTGTGGGGAAAGTAACTCAAGAAGGGAAAAAGATTAGCATGTCAGGAACCAGAGCTGGAGGGGAACAAAGGGTGGGGTGATAAGGGAAGAGAGCAGTTACCAGGACAGCAGGTATGGAGACTTGAATGATAACTGACACCAAGGAAGATATTGGCAAGCTCTCCCAACAACCGGTGGTCAGAGAGAGAAGAGTTTGAAAAGTTCACCGGGGACTCGCTGGCAACACTGGGCCAATCTTCACCTCCAGGTCATCTCACTCACAACCATGGAGTCCATGCCGACTCACAGTAAGTCTATAACAGGGTAGAACGACCCCTGTTCTAAAGGGTCTATGACACTAGAAAGCCTCTTCTTTCTCCCTCAGAGCAGCGAGTGGTTTCAATCTGTTCACCTTGTGGTTAGCAGCCCAACAGGTGACCACTAAGCCACAAGGGCCCCTGTCCGAGGTAAGAGCAAGGTAAAAATGCCTTTTTGGTCAGGGTTGAGAATAAAGGAAGATTTTTTTGAAGACTTTAATAAAGAGAGAGAGAAAGTGTGTGTGTGTGTGTGTGTGTGCGTGTATGAGGGAGAGAGAGAGAGGGAGAGAGAAAGGCAGGCCATGGTGTGCATCTATGGGTGGAGCAGAGTGGCTGCGCTGGGAATGCCGGATGACCAGTAGCGCTGTTCACTGATCAGGAAGAAGAGCCCGTTGGCTTGCTTAAGGATAATGAATGAAGCCTTAGTCAATACACTTAAATGAAGCTGGTGAGAGTAACAGGAAAAAAGAGAGAGAGAGAAAGATGGTAGAGCCCTGTTCCCTTAGACTCGGCAACTGGGATTGGCATGAGCATCAAAGTAGAGAGAAAGCAGGAGAGACGATCCATAGGCAGTGGTCAGTAAATGCTACCAACATTGGTTCCCCGGATGCCCTTTATGCTGGCATCTGTGAACACCGAGGTTCTGACTTGCCCAGATAGATTGAGGAGATAGAAAAAGATTTATTGGCCTAACCTAATTATTTATTCTACATGTCTTCACACGTTGAAATCAAAAGCACAAGGCCTACTGGCCAGCCGGATGCCCCTCTGGCTCCATTTGTGCGGTCCCTGTCACAGGCATGAGTGGAGAGTGGGAAACTCCAAAAGAGACGCAGGCGCACTCCGCAGGAGGAGTTGGTCTTTGGAACCTGGAACCAAAGACATTGTTCTTCGCCTCCCTTCCTTTGGACTGAAGACTTTCCTGATACACTGGCTTCAGAAATGGGCCCACAAAAGTCCCATCTGCATGGGGGAGTGCGCAGGTAAACACAGCATTTCCTTCCACCGTGCCTGGGTAGGAGTTGGGAGCTGATGCTACAGGGCAGCTTTACAGTAGTAAAACGGAGACACCGAAGTCATAACAAACAGGCTCATCTGGTTCCTCTACTCTGAACCTGATACTCTCAATCACCAGACCACTAGATCGGGCCTTGCTCCGGACCACTTGCTGACTTACCCACAGCTCCCAGGGAAACCAGGAGATTCTCTCGGGGCCCGATGTTCTTGTCATAAGGGCGATAGCCGTAGAGGTGAGCGGCACTGTTCACCAGCCAGGTGGCATTGAGCACCAAGGTGTAGCGCATCAAAGTGGCAACGAACAAACTGTGTAGGTAGGTTTCACCCCAGAAGTACCACGGCACGAAGGTAGGGAAGATGAAGCACATGAAGAGGATGCTGGGCTTGTAGTATCTGCGTGGAGAGAGAACACAAAGTCCTTGGAGAGAAGACCTACAGAGCTGCGTGGATTTCCAACACCGTGGGGTTGGGCCACCTTCTTCCTCCCACACGGGTACAGCATGGCAAACCCAGCAGAAGGGAAAGGGTGGGGAACCTTTGGAGACTGTCAGGTTATTGTATCGTTTTGTAAACGAAGTCCCAAGGAGGGCTTAAGCGACTCTCTAGGAACCGGTGGAGCAAGGATTGGAATGCTCCTCTTCTGGCTCTAAATCCATGGCTTGTTTTTGTGTGTTTTTTCCGCCCCTTCCCTTCCCACCACAGCATAATGATGCATTGGTCAAATAGGTGAGGTCCAAATTAAAAACTAACAAACGGGGTTCTTTCCCAAGCCAGTTCTCCATTCTGCCTTCGGGCTCCTTCCTCTTGCTCATCGGTGCTCTTCCTCAGCGTCCTGCCTTGTATTTCCTGCTGGTGCCCTCTCATCCTTTGCCCTTGTCCCTCAGAGAAGCACGCTACGTTTCCCCTGACTGCCTGCAGGTCTCTGTCCCATCTGGAGGCCACAGCCCATTCTTCTGTCACAGGTGGACCAGGCCAGTGGCACTCTTAAGGGCGTGGAGGTCCTCCCTCTGTCCAACAGTCAAGTCTTACACTTTCAGGTCCCAAGTGCCCAGCCTCTTTTCCTTCCTACCACTTTGTCCCTAGTGTGGCTCCTCAGAACCTATGAATGTTTAACCTCCTAACAGGCTCCTTCCTGCCTTTCGTGGGCTCCACAGCTTCATCCATCCGTCCCACAGTGATCTTTCTAAGGCGCATCTTTGACTAGGTCTCCCTCCTGTTTAAACAGACATACCGCACCATGGTTTCCAATTGCCTATGGAATGAACTCTGGTTTGTTCGGAAACTCTACAGGAATGGCATCAGCCTCGACTCCAGTCTTATTTCAGTACCACCCCCTGCACTTCAAGCAGAAGGACTCTTGGTCACTGGAACATACTTGATGCTTTAGCTCATTCATTTCTGTACATGAACTGCCTGACCCTGTACAGCCCCCAACGATCAAAATCCTCCCCATCTACCAAACTTAGCCCAGGGCTCCCTCCCTTATAAACCCTTTGCTAATGCTCTCCCCTGTGTGATCTCCCACCCCTCCCTCCCCACACGTTGTGCCCCTCCTGGGACAGAATGTATTCTACTGCCTATGTAGTTCTTCGGCTACTTGGTTTCTATAACCTATAGAAGTTGGGAGTTTTCAATGATGTTTTTTGTACCTGCAAACCCAGCATATGTCTTATAAATATGTTTTATAAAGCATATGCCTCAGCATAGGTTTTTAAGTCCCAGGAGAGAGAGCCCCTTCACACACAGATACAACACCCCCACCCCCACCCCCGACCAAGTACTCCAGGCCATTATTGCCAAAGCTCTATCACCACTTCACTCACCTCCTCTGGAACATCACCAGCTTCTCAGCTTTTAGGTCAGATAAATCCAGCAGCGCGCCCTTTTCTCTGACAGCTGGGTGCTTGCGCACAAGCAGCCAACCCACGTGGGAGAAGAAAAAGCCACGCCGGGAATTGTGAGGATCGGCATCTGTTTCAGAAAACTTGTGGTGCACACGGTGGTCTCGGGCCCATTCAAACACATCATTCTGGAAGGGAGGGGCAGAAAAGAGAATTGTAGGCCTCTTGGGAGAATCCCCATGGCTCACAGCCCAACCTCATCAACTGGCCAGGAGTCTGGACTCCAAAGGAGGGAACCGGGATATTATTTCCTGCACCCCCCCCCCCCCATCAACTTGGTATGGAAAGGGGGGAAGCACGTGAACCGGGCTGGCTGTTTCTTGGAGGCTATTCGGTGGGTAGATTCTCGGGTGTAGAGATGAGGGGTTCTGTTCTGATGTCCTCGACGAAGAGACTGCTCCTGTGACCCAGGACACTAAGGCCAAGCATGGAACTCAAGACCCTGACACATTTCCAAATGACCCCTGGGGTTTCTCAGAGACCCGTTCCAGCTCTTAAAGAATGTGCCATTATCTCCCACTCCAGAAAACCTGTCCTTTGCCCCAAAGGGACAGGACACTATCGGGAACCTTTAGAAAACAAGGAACTCACTGCCATTGAGTTGGATTCCTACAGGACAGAGGAGCAACGCCCCTGGAGAGTGTCAGGATTCCTGAGTGGAAAGCCTCCTCTCGCTCTGGCTGTTAGCAGCCCCGCTGTGGTCCGCTACGCTACCAGGGCTCCTGCAGGAACCTTTCAGGTGCTGCAGAAATACTATCGTGCAGCGGTGGGACTGATTGGATTTCCTTCTTTTGATCTCTTGCTCCAAGCTAAGGCCCACACCGCATGCTGTCCCTGGTCCAGGGCTACCACTCTAGCTGTCTTAAGAGAATCCCCTTCCCCCATCGCCCTTCATTCTCTCTCTGTTCTGGAACTTTCTGCCTCAATACACTTCAACATTTGACTCAGCCAACCTAGATGCCCCAAACAGGCCACGCGACCTCTGGGTGACTCCGCTTCCTTATCTGTAAAATGAGGACGATGCTGATAGCATCTGCCTCCTAGGGTTGCACTCAACACATCGCTGGGCAGAAGACCCCCAACCCTGGGAAGGTCATCAACAGAGAGAACAGAAAGAAACAAGCCAAACATGCTTCTGACCTGGAAAGCCATGGTGTTGGCAATGATCAGGAAGACCTTCAGGGGCAGCCGGGCTTTGTAAGTCCGATGACTCCACAGGCGATGGGCTCCTGCGGTTATGCCCAAGGCGCTGACCACGTAGTAGAATAACACTGCCAGGAGAAGATGGAAGGGGTGCTGTTGTGCCATCTGGGATAGCCCATGACAGGCTATTTCTGTAGAACGTACCTTTCTTTAGGCTTTGGGTGGAGGCTTTGCCTCTAGGGATGTCCTGGTCTCTTAGGCCTTAGAGCGTTACCAATTAAAGTCCACCATCACTCCTCCTCCCCCTACCCACCTCTCAGACCGGGATGGAGTCCCAGGAACTTCAGAAAGCAAGGGAGAGAATGGGGCTCTCAGCACACAGCCACTGGTCATTCTAAGTGTCCGTCCCACCCCCTTTTACCTTCCACTAACCTCCAAGGTTTTGACAACCATAAGCTACGCCTCCTGCGGTGTTTAGAAGCCATGAGGAAGAGTGACATTAGAATGTCAACAGCTAGTATGGTTTGGGTACTGAACAATCAGAGGGACACTGGAGGCTCTGCTGGGCCAAGAAAACACCAACACTCCACTGCTGTGGGGTCGACTCGTCGTCACCCTGGAGGATGGTGCAGACGGCTCCTGTGGGTTTTAGAAACTGAAAACCACCCCCCACCCAAGATGCTAACGCGTCACAGGAGAAGAGTCTCATCTTTCTTTAAAGGAGTGGCTGGTGGCTTTGAACTGCTGACCTGGTGGTTAGCAGCCCAACGCATAACCCACTAGGCCATCAGAGCACCTAACTATTTGAGGCCAACCATTACTAATTTCTCAATTGCGGGTGCTTGGTAGGTGCTCCAGAGCTCAGAGTAGGGGTCACTCCAGGGGCCCAGGCTGTCTATATGTCAACTGGTACAGAGGGGGGGGCGGCAATCAGCCCTGTACCTAAGTCATAGCTTAACCAAGAATGTTCATATTCTTAAATGCATTGAGTAGCTTAAATGGGACAAATGGGATTAATACTCTCACTCTGTAGTTGAAGAAATAGGTGCTTAAAAAGTTTAAATGCTTCATTTACAGTGACATGGCTATTAAAAAATGGAGCTGTCTTGAAATTAGGTTTTCTGTCAACAAGCAATTCATATTCCAATTATACCATCCCCTCCCAAGATATGCACACTCTCTCCTTTGCAATATCTGTGTCAGCCCTTAAGCCTTTGGGGCCAGGTTAATTCTAGAGAGTGGTGTAGGGTGTTCGAAGCTCTCAGTGGGGCACACCATCTTCATCCAGCTTCCCCTTCCTGGAGACGCAGGGTACCAGGTGGGCGTTCTAGCTGGGAAGCGGGCTGCTGGCGCACCTATCCTCCTCTGCTCAGTAACTTGCCAAGGCTGGGCCTGAGGCAGGCGAGATTAATAGTAGTGACTATTGACAGTGTTTCATGCTAGGGAAACAGCTAGAAACAATGGGCTCTCAGTGACCACAGAACTGAGTTGCAGTTGGAGACACCACACATTGTAACAAATTGTCCTGTGTTTTTTTCAAGCCACAAACAGCAGCTTCTCCAGCAGCCCTCTTCTCTCCCCGACTCTACCTTCCTCCAACCCATCCTGTTCCGCTAAGGAAGGAGAGTCACAAGGCCAGAGTCTCTCCCAGTGTGAGTTGGATCCATATTCCCTTGGAGTTAGAGTGAAGGCCCCAGGTGATTCTTGTCCTTAGATCAGGAAGTGATAGCTTACCCTGGCGATCAAGTGCTTTTTTTCCTATTAACGCCAATAAATACCCCAAAACCAAACCCATTTTTATCATCAGTTCTGACTTAGGGTGACCCTATAAGACTGGTTGGAGCTTACGGTGGCCCCATAGAGTCCAAAGGGGTAAATCTTTATAGGAACTCTGCCGTCAGTATCTTCTCCTGTAGAGCAGCCCCAAGGTTCAACCTTTGCGCTACCAGGGCACTTTCAAAATAACCAACTAACTACACTCACTGCGGTCAAATTCATTCTAACTCATAATGGCCCTCAATAGGCGTTCTAAGGCTATAAATCTTTGTGGGAGCAGATAGCTTCATGTTTCTTTCATGGAGTGGCTGGTGGGTTTGAACCACCAACCTTGTAGTTAATAGTCCAATGCCTACCTGACAGTCCAACCAGGCCTCCTTGTCTAGCAAATAGAAGGGCTTCAATCAATTGGAGATGGATTCTTTCTTATTGATGGTTATGGAAAATCTCACAGCTTTTACATAACACTCAGATAAAACAAGACAAGGTAAAGGAAGCCAAACTCTTCTCTTCTGTAGATGCGAAGAGAAAACAGGACCCTTCACTCCTTCCTCTTGTTCCTCAAGACAGAGGGACCTTGAAATCCTCACAAAATGATCATTCCACCCGCTAAATCACCTACTAAAAGGCCCCGGGAGAGGAGGAAGCGTGTTGGCCGAAGCTCAGTTCCAAGACTGGAACTTGCTTCAACCCCCAGGCGATGAAGACCCATTGAAATGCCCGGCCAGCCTCTGTGTGCCACATCGCTAACCAGAGCACCGTTCACACGCAGCAGCGGTAGGATACTCAAAAGGCAGTGGGGACGAGCCATGGCTTTGGGATGGGTTGTGCTCCCTGCTCTAGTAGCCCAAGGTGAGGTCCAAGATGGGCAGTCCAATAACCCTGCACGCCCTGAGACCAACAGGGACGGCTGAGCCCGCCATCTGGACAGGTCTTAGAAGTCACAAACCTACGAGTGAAGATGCTTTCCTTGGGGACAAGGGGTGGAGTGAGGAGTCCAGTCTCCCCTTGGGGAAACCTTATCCCAGAGAATAGAGGTCCCCACTGCTCCCCACATTAAGAGCCCTTCCGGATTCCCTCTACCTGACCTACACTTACTCAGCAATGACACACCTGGAACCAGAAGAACGCTACCTTCCTAAGACAAAAGTAGTTCTACCGGCCCATTTTGTACCTGGAAAAAACCCCCGAGGTTCTGCAAGAAGGGCTTTCTCCAAGGTTGAATGGCATATCACCCACGGTCCGTGGGTCTGTGGCCTGAGCAGGGCTCCAGTGACTGGATCCCATCACCTGAGAAGATCCCATCACCACGAGGGAAAAGAGCGAAAACTTGGCCTACGAATCAAGTCCAACCGCCCTCCAGGAGCGCGGCTGCTGGCAAGTCCCCGAGGCAGTTCTGGAAACCCAGAGGGTTTTCTGGACAGGGCACTCTGGCTCCCCGTTCCAGAGAAAGGAGGAAGAACAGTTAAAAAACCAGGTCATCCAGCGCGATCGACAGTGCTCCTTCTGACTCACAGCCACCTGATGCAGGGTTTCTGCAGCTTGGTAAATCTGTACCGTCTCATCTTTTGCCCAGCAAGTGGCCGGTGGGTCTGAACTTGCCGGCTTTGCGCCATCCAAAGCTTACCCAATCATGTCACCCAGGCTCCTTAGAAAGAAGGGCAAAGCATAGGGGGCCCTGGGTCTTGGGAGCTGCCTTCTCAGGTGTCTGATAGCAGATAAGATACCTGTGAAGTACATGTGTGTACCCAGGACGGGGGAGTTGGCTGTTCCAGGAATTGCCGCCTTCTCCAGCAGAGGCCTCAGGGAGTGGAGTGTGCTCAGGGGTCCCTTTTCTGGTCTGACCTGACTCTCCCTGACTAGGAGGGAGGGTAGAGGCCAGGGAGGACTGGGGTTTGAAGGTAATGGGCCCTCAGTGCTTCCTAACTCCAGGAGAGAGGCATGACCCAGCTCTTCCACCAGATGCATGGAGCCCTCAGCCTTGTCACGGAGGGATCTTGACCACTGCGGCTAACGGAGCTGGGACAGGTGGCCACCGGGGGGACTCAAAAGAGAAGAGCACCTTTTAGGGCTGTGCACCAAACCCAAACCTCATTGCCATTGAGCCGATTGTGACTCATGGCGACCCTATAGGACAGACTAGAACTGCCCCGTGGGGTTTCTGAGACTGTAACTCTTAAGGGGAGTAGAAAGCTTCATATTTCTACTCTGCACTGATCTATTCCCAGTCGGCCGTGGTCTCAGGGTACCCTCCCCAACACTCCAGTGAAAGGACAAACCAATCCCCCTCTGAATTAATTGACACCATTGGGTCCCGTCCTCCCAGGGCCCAAGCCCCAAATGACTGGGAAACCCCACTGGTAGCTTGACCCGATGTCAGAAGGAGGACAAAGGGCTTCTGCTTACCCCAGAGCCAGGTGTAGAACTTGCAGGTGGGAAGCAGGGTGACTCCATACACGGCCCCCAAATGCAGCATAAACATCAGGATGATGTTCCTCCAGACATACACTGTCTTGGGCCGTGGACCCTCCTTATCCTTGTAGCTGGGATCATAGATATCGTCTTTCATCTCCGGGCGGATATCTTCTTCCAAATGTAGGGTCTTCTCCAACTTGCCTCCGCCGTTCGGCAGGATTCTGGAGGAGGGCGCAGTGATGGTGGTGGTGGTGGTGTAGGAACCAGACATCTGGAAGGGAAAGGACGCCGAGTCAAGGAGGAGAGAATTCAGAGCCGACACGTGGACGCGGGCAGGAGCTGCTTAACTCGAGAATCGCGGTGGGGGGAAGGGTGAAGCACCCCGCCAGGGACCCTGCGCCGAGGGCCCAGGTGAATCGAGGGCGGGGTCTACCCGGGGAAGGAGGAGAGGAAAGTTACCAGGAAATGTAACTTGGGGGTGGGGGTGGGGGCGGGAGAAGAGGGGGTAGAGTGAGATCTCTAGGTTTAACTGGGGCAATAGAAGGGCGGGGGCAGAGAGGCCCCTCTACACGCACAATGGAAGCCCCCGCAGACATTCATAGACATTCACAGAGAACTAATGAGACTGGATTGCTCATTTTTAGAACGTACGAAACAAAAGTTGGGGAATCCAAGTCCCCAGATTACAATCCACATTCCCAAGAAATTGAACAAAGTTCAATTCGCAAGAGGTGGCCAGGCTTGCCCGGAGCTTTCCGCTCTCTCTGTCTCGCCCCACCAAGCAGCCCCCAAGAAGTCACAGCAGCGCCCGCCGCCGCCGGGAAGCTCACCTCCTCCTGCAGCAAGTGGGCAGGCATCTTGGCTCGGGGAGACGGCGGTCACTTTCCCAGGGGTGAGCCGGCGAAGTCCTGAGTCCGGAGCCGCGGGGGACACCAGATGGACTTCGGTTGCAGATCTCGCTGCGGCGTGGGGGCGTGCGGCGCCGGCGCTGCGCTCGGAGCCCTGCTCAACACCGGGCGCACGAGATCGCTGTCCCGGCTGGAGCGTCGGTGCCGGGAGCTCCCGCGGCTGGGGATTTAAAGGCTGGAGCTGGCGGGAGATGACGGTGTCCGGTATTTCCTTAAACCCCTTTTATTCGCTGCCAACAAGGGGCAAAGTGTGCAGGGAGGGCCGGCCGAGGCTGGTCCGCGTGGAGGTGCCGGCGGCCTGGCGAGGCGTGCAGGGGGCCGGGGCCGGGTCACCGGGATGCTCAGACACCACTGCCGCCGCCTCTGGGGAAATGCTAATGATGCCTCTGTAAACTCTGGCGCGTCATTGGCCGAAGGGAATTTGGTGCCACCTCGTCCTGCCGTTGCCATTGGCTCGGCGCAATCTGCTGTTCCCTCTGCCGCGCGCTCCCCGCTCCCCCGCCCCTCTCTCCCTTCCCTCTCTTCCTCCGCTGGGCCTCTGCCCGGCACCTCGCCGCCGCGCAGGAGCGGCGAGCTGGCTTTCTGCAGGAGGGAGGAGACCCGGCCGGGGCGCGGGGACCCCGCGGATGCGTGGGCGCCGGGGAAGTTGGGCTGGAAACTGGGGAAGCCACAGCGGCGGGTACCCCTCCCCATGGCAGCGTCTCAGCCCTTGCCCCCAGCCGCCAGGCAGGGGAGCCGCGGCTTGCACCCCAGGGAACGGAGTCCCGGGGGTTCTCGAAGGCCCGCCCCCTGACTTCGAGGGGCCGTGCCCGCAGCCGAACAATGGCTCTGCCTCCCCCAGCAATCAGCTCCTGGCCGCGTGTCTAGGAGTCACCGGGGCCCCCACCTGCAGGGGCACGCCAGTCCCTTGGGTATCTTAGCGGGGACGCGCCCCCACCCCCCACCCCGTAAGGCGCAGTGACCGATGCCAGCCGATGTGCGCGTCTCTAACGTGGGTGGAAGTTTTCAGTTTCTTTAGCTTGTCAGGTTGTTAACGTCTAAGACCTCTTTTTTTTTTCTTGTTTTAAAAATCAATTTATTGGGGCTCATACAATTCATCACAATGCATAGATCAATTGTGTAAAGCACATCTATGCATTTGTTGCCCTCATTATTCCCAAAATTCGCTTTCCTCTTGGGTTCCCGGAATCAGCTACGTCTAAGACCTCTTCATGGGAGAGAGTGAGCTGTGGTGGCGCTGTGGGTTAGGCATTAGGCAGCTCACCTCAAGGTTGGCGGTTCAAACCCATCAGTGGCTCCGCAGGAGAAAGAGGAGGCTATTTGTTGCAATAAAGAGGTACAGTTTCGGTGTAAGTCGGAAGCGACTCAAAGTGTTTGGCTTAGGTTTTTTTGGAGCGGGCAGAAGCTTAAGAGATATGCCCTCTTGCCCAAAACTGGCAAAAAGAACTTGGGTGGGGTACAAGGATAGGGAAGAGGTATTAAATTATTGTTAGGCTCAGACTCATTGATGACACCCTTAGGTATTTTGAAGGCATCCAAACTAGGGGTTCATCTTCCAGTACTACCTGACAGTACTCTGTTGTGTCTATGCTTTCCACTGGCTAATTTTCAGAGTTACATGATCAAGTCTTTCTTGCTCGTCTGCCTTCTGTATAGAAACCCCACTGAGACAGCAGTGGGGCAGCCAGTCCAGCTTCATCACACCACAGTCGATGAGCTGACTTTGGTTTGAGTTTGGGTCCATTCCAGTGATAGTTTCTCAGGGAGTTAAACACTTGGTATTGCCTGGGCAGAGGCCCAACCGGCAGCTCTCTGGTTGGCCAATCATCTCAGGGTTAGCCAACTCCTGAGCCGGTCACCACATCTCTTCATTCCAGTCCTGGCTCTATGTCCAGTTCTGAAAGCCCTGGATCTTCACCAACATTCTGGGTAGCTGGTCTTGTCATTGTTTGGAGATGCCCAGCGAATGCCATACAAGTTGTGCACATGTTGCGTCTCTTCAGGCAGTGGTATCACTAGGGAGCTCGGGTTTGTGGCCCAGATTGGGGGCTGGGGGGGGGGCATCAGAGGGAGTGACACCAAAATGACTGTCGATAAGCCTTTTGTGCTGTGTTTCAGCGGGAATTTATTATTTTTATTAAAATACCACTCTTGTTAGTTATAACAACAAAAACAGTTTTCCTACGCCATCGAGTGATGCTGACTGACGGCAGCCCTAAAGGACAGAGGAGGGCTGCCTCTGTGAGTTTCTGAGACTATCACTCTTTACCAAAGTACAAAGTCCCAGCTTTCTCCCCAGGAGTGGCTGGTGGTTTTGAACTGCTGACCTTGCAGTTAGCTTAATGCAGAACCACTATGCCACCAGGACTCCTTACATGCAAGGAGCATAAAACTCTATGCTAACTTACTCTTTGCCTGAGCTTCCATCAGAGCTCTAGTACCCAGGTATAACGAGGTTTCCAATCGTGTGTTTTGTCTGCTCAGGCTACAGGCACTCAAGGTTGCTTTTGTTAGGGGTGCTATTTTTAAAATACTTTTTCTGTTTTGTTGATTTTTTAAAAAACTTTAAACGTTTTAATAAATAATTTTATTGGGGGCTCTTGAGCTCTTATAACTATCCATACATCCATCGGGTCAAGCACATTTCTTTATGTGTTGCCATCATCCTTTTCAAAACATTTTCTTTCTACTGGAGCCCTTGGAATCAGCTCCTCTTTTTTCCCCTCCCTCCCCCAGTGGCTGGTGTTTTCGCTTTTCCTCTTTAATTTTATTTTATCAGGGGCTCTTACAGCTCTTATCACAATCCATACATATATCCATTTTGTCAAACACATCTTTACATATGTTGCCATCTTTTTTTCCCAACACATTTTCTTTCTACTTGAGCCTCTGGCATCAGCACCTCATTTTTTTCCTCCGTCCCCCAGTGGCTTGTGTTTTAATAGCTGCTGATTTTGTCAAAATTTCTGGTCTTTTTTCCTACAGTATTGGGGTAATTAGTATTTGTGAATCTGTCTGAATAACTGTTTTGAGAATTAAGTAGTAGTGAAAGGAAATGCAACCCCCAAACCCACTATCTTCCAGCCGATTCCAACTCATAGGATCCTATACTGGGTTTCTGAGGCTGTACATCTTTACCGGAGCAGACAGCCTCATCTCTGTCCTGAGGAGCGGCTGTTGGCATTGCACCACTGACCTTGCAGTTCGCAGTCCAAGGTTTACCGGACAGCGCCAAATGCCTTCCACTCACTTACTAACAATATGGGAATTCAATGTAGAAAGATTCTACAGAACAAGTCTGTTGTTAGCATTCATATCATCTACTACCTGTTACATTTAATCAACTTATGATCGGTGGTGTAGTGGTTATGAGTTGGGCTGCCATCCAGAAGGTCAACAGTTTGAAACCACAAGCTGCTTCACGAGAGAAACACAGAGCTTTCTACTCCCGTTAACAGTGACAGTCTTGAAAACTCCCAGGGGCAGATCCACCCTGTCCTATGGGGTCACTGTGAGTCGTCATTGACTTGATGGCGGTGAACCATCTATAACCTATTCTTTTGTAAGTAAAATTGATACTAAACATTTCTAAGCATTTGTACAGTCTAGTATGGGAGGAGACCCATGGAGGGTGGGGCTGGGGAGTATGGAGTGACACCATAAGTGTGACCTACTGGATGACATCGACCCTGGTTCTAGCTTCAGGTGTCCTCAGCAATATCTGATTTGCTTAATTCCTCACCAACAGCAAGAGTAACATCGAAAGAGAAGACTTAAGACTTCCTTTGGGAGGGGCCCTTTTCTGTGGCTGAAATTGGCTCTGTCACTAGGACTGGTTCTTCTTCTCCTTCCCTAGCGGGTGCATCCAACCTTTGCTTCCTCCAGACCTGGCCTCCATTCAGAAACAGTCTGGAAATACACAAGGTTCCCTAGGAAGCCAACTTCCCCTTCAATTAGTACATGGGCAATATCTTAGCTGCTGTCATGACTACGTGTGGAGCAAGGTGTCTTATCATTCATTTCTCTCTTTGGAAAAGAAGAGAGAGGCCTGTTATGACAAAAATGTAGATTGTGCTTACAGGGGCGGGGAATGCTCTAAAATTGGTTGGGCTAATGATTGTATAATTCTCCTTGATAGGATTAACTGATTGAACTATTGCATTGTATGATATGTGGATGAGGGGCCAATTTAAAAAAAAAGAAAAAGAAGAACTGGAGTGGGAATGTCATAGTTCTCTCTAAAGACAGGATTCTGTAAAGCGGGTGTTGTGAATGTGGATTGATACTAGTTTAAGGAGAACGCGTCAGGAAGAAATGATCAGAACCCAAATTACGGTTGATCATGATAGTCTAATGATGGCTAATGCGCTGGCTTGGGGCTTCTCCCTGAGGTTCATCTGGTACATCGCGTGTGGCTCTGAGAGTGGTGGGGAGCCCTGGCGACCTAGTGGTACGAGGTGGCCTGCAAATCGAAACCACCAGTGGCTCCTCTGGAGAAAGACGGGCCTTTCCATCGTGTGGTCCAGCCTCGGAAAGAGTTCCAGTCTCAGAAACTCACAGGGACAGTTCTACCCTGTCCTCTGGAACCCTATACCGACACTTGTTATGAGCCAGTGTTGACTCAGTGGGGCGAGTTTGTTTGTGTTTTTAAATCGTGGTGTTTTTCCGCTATTTTAAGACGGTCAGAAAGATAACTCACAAATAAAGTAACTCACAAAATGAGGGTGCATTTTAGGGGTGATGGGGGAAAGTAGGGGTCTATGTGTGAAAAACATTTAGTCTGATGAAGTAGACATCACTGATAAGTACACAATCAATATCTATATGGAATAGACGCATAATGATTAAACTGTTACCTATTTTAGTATATGCGCGTATAGTACAAAATATGCTTGGTTCCTTTTAGACACTCTGGCTGCAGCTATGGTCAGAAGTCACAATGCCAACTCCCACCAGCAAATCCAGAGCATAATCAATGATGACTCGCTCATCCATAAGTCTGCGACCGTCTATAGCTAACAGTCCAAAATGGCTGTACTTTAGCTAAGCAGGTATTCCCCAGTTATGCTTTCCAAAACCGTTGTATTGGGCTATAATCTACATATCATACACTTCAAAATCCTATCAAGGGGAGTTGTACAATCATGACCACAGTCAGTTTGAGAACATTTTCTTCTTTCGTACATTCCTTGTTATTAACTACCCATTTCCCTTGAAACCGCCCCTGCCCACACCCCCAAAAACCATTCATCCAGTCACTATCACTATATCGTCACCTATCCTGGATTCCATCGATTGAAAAA